ACGACCTTTAAAATATACAAAGAAAGTAGAGGTTTTATCAGAGTTTACTTTGAAAGATAAAATAAAATAATATTAATTGAAAAATGGTAAGAAACTCTGCAATTTAAAGCAGAACCTGCAGCTTGGAAAATCAAGTAAATTGTTTATAAAAATTTTTAATACCTTTGTCATTTAAGTAGCCGCCAATTTTTCGCTGCGATACGCTTATAAAATATGCCTTCCCCTCTTTTACTGTTATTTTACCGTTGCATTTTTTATTCCTCAATGCAGTTGTAAATCCTTCACTTTATATACTTTTATCACACAATTTTCATGTATCTGCTTTACTTCTTGGTCAACACAACTTTGCCACACTTTATTTCATACGAGTACAGCTTTGCACCCGGTGTTCTTAGCTATGTTTATTCCGGAGAATTTTCCCATTTAAGAAAATCAGGAATTTCCACACTAAGCACTGCTCAACACACTACTCACAAAAAAAAAAACAAAGACTGTCAGAAAAAGAAACATAGATGTGAAACACGATTTAAGCGAAAAACACGTACAACTCGGAACGCCGCTAAAACGCAACTGAACATCCCAGCAAATAGTAACAGAGCGCAAACGTGGCTTAGATCGACGACAATTAAAGTGCTGTTACCACCAAGAAGAAATACCAATAAGCTGATGGCTTGATGCTCACTTGTCGTTTGTTTATATTTTGAGCTCGTATTAGCTGGCCTTCGAAGCGCACATTTCCGCAGTACAGCGCGTGGTTATGCTCTCACTCTCTTCTACCACAAATCGTATCTCATTTGAGCTCGACTTGATCAAGCGATAACTAGTTGGCCACCAGCAAATAAATACTCTGTAAGCGCATGTGCTCAAGCCGGCTTATTTAAAAAAAAGGAAACTACTGAAATGCTCACAAGCACTCAATGGCGCTCGCTTGTACTCTCACAAGCTCTATCACCTGCCGGTTGTCAATTTACATAATTTAGCTCAAATTTTGTTTGATATTTAGCACAAGCGCGGATTGAGGTAACTCAGCTAAAGATCAGCTAAAAATATTGAAATATTTGTGAGGGAGAGTGTGTATAATTTTTGAACGCAGTGAGCGCCTCTAAGTAAACACTGGCTTAAGTGATTAGTCAAGGTGACTGCGTGCTAAGAAAATGTCATATGATGTGCATGTGATGCGCGGTTGATGTGGGTAAATGCTGAGTGACAGAAATGAGGAAGAGTAGGTTGCTGGTTGATTGAGGTTGGTCAGTGTTAAAGTGAAGGTGAAACTTTTTATTTTGTGGCATTAAAGTTGGAAAGAAATTTGTATGACACATGAACTTTAAAAAAAACACATTATTTAGATAGAATCAGCTTTAGATTTTGTGAAATTGGTTTACAAAGGATAGGAGTGTACATACGGGTAATGACATTAAACACATTTGGTAAAAGATAAGTCACCAAAGTTTTGCGTGGCATGTCACAGGCGACATTTCAAGATAAAATAATTAAGGCCGTCATTCGAAAGACGGATAGAAGTTTTTTGAGCAAGTAGCGTAAAAAGAAGGATTAAGCAGATTTATAAACCTTAGCAGGGCAGATGAGAAGTCAATGCTGAGATTCGTCAACAGCCAATCAGCTGCGGAGTCCGGGGAGATATCAGGCCGTACCACTTGGGTTCGTATTACAGCAAAAGAAAGTTGGCGCCTAGCGAGTTGTAAAGCTCTATTGACCGCGCGCAGTCGTCTACCGGCCAAAGTTACTTTGAAACCTTGCAGGTCGGGGTTTCGCTCAGCGCTCGCTAAGCCAAATAAAAACCTAACTGTTGCGGAGGTTGGTATTGACATCGTCGGCCTGATAACTAGGGAGATCAGGGTAGCATTTTCCTAGGTTAGAAAAAACACTAAAGAGATTGGTCTATGGGCGAACAAAGACAAGACAAAGTAGCTAGCAACACATAAAGACTCCTAACGATCACCTTGGCAGATGTAAGTTTAAAGTAGCCGTAGGCTTTCTCTACCTAGGATCCAGTATAAACATCACAAAATTGTCAGCCTGGAGATTAAGCGAAGAATAATTCTTGCCAACAGGTGCTACTTTGGGCTCGGTAGGCAATTGAAATACAGAGGTTTTTCTCGTCCCGTCCTTTTATATTGTGGAGAAACATGGGCGATGTCAAACAAGACTACGCAAGATCGCGTAAGGGACATGTACCGAAGCAGATGGAATGACGAACTGCACGAACTTAAAAATACAATAATTACGCTAGCTTGAGCATGTTGTACGCATGGTTGACGAGGCTCCGGTGAAAAATTCTTGTACTCGGCACTTTTGGAGGTAAACAAAAGAAAGGGCGCCCACAAACACAAAAGAATTATCAAGTAAAGCAGGATATATCTGCCTTCGGGATGTAAAACTGGCGGAACCTCGCAAAGGATACAGGCAATTGGCGAAATTTTGTGATCTTGGCCCAAACCGACGAAAGTTGTAGAGTCAAACAAGAAGAAAAGTTGAAGACAAATTCTCAATAATAAGACGACGAGAAGCATGTCTTGTCTAGCCAATTCACTAGCTATGCAGTTTCCTGCATCGTCACTGTGTACTGAAACACAAAACACCACGGTTTGGAAATAATTAGAGGCGACCGAGTGGCCTAAATCGCAAAGGCGGTTACAACGCCAAATAAGATAACGAAGATTGAGAGGTACATCAGGTATTCCGCGACCAGTTTCGATACCAAACCAGAAGCAATTGTAGATCGTTATTGCTGGTTGGCTGTCAGAGCAGATATTTTGTTTTCTAACCAGTATTATTTCATAGCCAGTCTACTGCCACCTTTGTTGCAACTAAGTCTGCTTTTAAATACGTTGCAGAAATCTGGAAACCTAAACTTGAAGTTAACGGAGAGCAACTAACAGAATACCTATCCCCCCAAAAAAATTTGGCTTCCTTTTTAGCTTCCAGTCCACATAGGCTCACGTCTAAAATGGACAGGATGTCTTTAGGGACATCAGAGAGGTCAAGAAAAAACCACCGCTCAAGGGAAGTACTTAGTACAGCGAAATACGTGGTCCGACACTAATCACAGTACTATGCAGATAGGATAAAAATAAAATGGTTATTGCTCACTTTAGGCGGCATTTTGACTTCTTTTAACTTATCGAAGTCGGGAAACTGGACGATGGCTTTACCGGCTCAGTGGCGACGGCGGAGTCAATAAGACAATAAGATTATGTGATACAATTAAACGACCGAATTTGAGAGATGGGACAGAAACAATTATATGGGGAATGGTACCAACTATTACTACGTAACCAACTTAAAGATAATGTCGATGTTAGGCTGAGACAAATTATTGAATATTTAAATGCGCTTAAAAATTTCAAAGGACAGAAAATAATAAACTAATAAGACAAAACAAACAAAACCTTATTTGTTAGTGCACAAGAGGTGAGGTCCAACAAAAAGGTTACGAAGCCACTCGCACTACCGCCTGAGCTGTCGTGGATATCTTTAACCCGCCAAGTGACCGGGTTCATGGTGCGGGATGCTCGATAGAAAGGGATGGGGAAGCACAAAGGGAGGAAGCCTACCAACAATAACGTCCAAACAGCGAGAAATACAAATTATACTTAAGCGGTGGTCGGCAGTGTTGCCGTTGTGCGACTAAAGGAGCAATTTGACCCTTTTTAAGTGTGCCATTAACCTTTCACCCGACTTTTAAAAAATGTAGATTTTTTACCCTCTTCCAAAATTATGTTGGACTTTTGGCCCTTATCAGATTCTCTTTGCAGCAACTCGATTTCTGTGTATGTTTGCAACCCTTGATTTTGACTTTGGTTGTCAAATCTATTCTTTTACAAGTAAAGAAAAGCAAAAATAATATGGTGACTCTTGTTTTCGTCAATGACTTTCTGAAAATTCTCAACGGCAACACTGGTGATCGGTCTGTGCGTCGACCAAGGGGTGCTGCTGGGGGGCAATGCCCGCCAGATCCGATACCGGCACCAAATCCCTCGTCGCCTGGCGCCACTATTAATTTTACCTGCTGACCTGCAGTCTAAGTGCCCTCTTCAACGTTCACTTAGTTCTGGCCCGGTACGCAACTACCAGTTGGGCCGCAACCTACGCACCGCTCCTTAAAACCATGGGGCCTAAGTGCTAGTGTTGTTGGTTTTCAGCGGTCGCCACCACGGTGCGCACAAACAAACTCCATGGACTTTCCCATTGCCATCATACGGCGGACAACAAAAGTGCCGCGATAAAAGAAAAAAGCGACGCCTCTATTATGGTATTTTGCGTCATCTCTTCGTCACATTTTTTGGAGCGAATACCTCTGAGGGACACCTTTCTCCAATGTATTAGCACACCGCCGACAGTCAGCTGCTTTGCCCTTTCACCTGAGCTATATGCAACGCAACGCTCTTATCGGTTGGAGTGAAGAAAATTACAGTAGAACGAGTAAACTAAAGATAAATTCTCTCCTCTCAGATATCGTTTTGGATGTCAACTCAAATTTCTTAAAATGAAAACAGATGCTTTTTGTTGTGGTTTTTCAATTCTGACTCGCAATTTGTATTCAAAAATATAGTAAACAAAAATCTGTTGGTCTCGCTACTAAGTATATATTCTTCAATGGACTTAGTGCTTAAGACAATGCGTATGCAGTCGTATAGCTTAGCTATTTATCGAGCGTTCAAGCACGTACATGTTGCAGAAGACCGCGGTCATAGCAAGAGCGCATGCGATAAGCGCCGAGACATTGGTTAATGACACACACACATAGTTGGTCAAAACTTCAATGTGCTGACCAAATGGCAGAGACAGATTGGTTAATTGCTGCAAAAGCACATTTGATGATAAAAGAAAAAAAATTTAAAAGAATTGCAATTTCTATGCAGTACAGTTCTTAGTCTCATGTGAGCATTTAATTGCGGCATGAGTATAAAAGCAATGCGACCTTCAAGTTCGCATCAAAACATTTCAAACTTTGTACCAGTTACACAGCTGTTGAGAAAATGTGGCAAATACTTTTAGTAGGCTTCCTAATTGGCACCGTGCGCTGCACGCTGGATACGCCGCTCTGCCCCGATGGTGGTGAGCCGGTATGCGCTAGAGATGACAGCGAAATTATTTACTTCGAGAACGAGTGTAAGCTGAATGTTTACAGTTACAAACAACTTTTTGCTGGTAAAAGGAGTGAGTATTGCTTTTTAAGTACTCCTTATAGGCTTTCACTAAAATATAATGTTTTCCATAGAACCCACTAGAATAGCACTAGAGGATTGTTTCTCCAATTGTGGGGGCATAATATGCCCAGCCATTTACCAGCCAGTTTGCGCGCAACTAACTCCTACCGGTACTTTGAGGACGGTACCCAATGCCTGTTTGGTAAATCAACTGATTTGTGAATCGCGGCAACGTAAGTAGCACATTGTCCTTGTGTCTAGCATTTCTCTTTAAAGACATTTTTTCTTAAAAACTTAAAGAATGGATAATCATTGGTATTGGTCCTTGTCCGACGACCGCAGAACCAGCATCTGCTTCAAGATATCCGTCTTATGTTTCTGATCCGGCGCCAGCGCCAGCCCCAGCTCCAGCACTAACTACAGAGCCTTCAGTTTCTGCCAATTACGGTGCGCCTGCTCAAGCACAGGGATCGAGCTCAGAGCCAGACTATTACGTAGCACCAGCACCCTCCGCTAATCATGCTCCAGCGTCTTACGGTGTGCCAGCTCAAGCACAGGACCCAGACTATTACGTAGCACCAGCACCAGCGCCAGCACCTTCCACTAATCCTTCTCCAGCCGCTTACGGTGTACCAGCTCAAACACAGAGATCGAGCTCAGAGCCCGACTATTACGTAGCACCAGCACCTTTCGCCAATCCTGCCTCAGCATCTTACAGTGCGCCAGCTCAAGCACAGGACCCAGACTATTACGTAGCACCAGCATCAGCGCCATCACCTTCCACTAATCCTTCTCCAGCCACTTACGGTGCACCAGCTCAAACACAGGGATCGAGCTCAGAGCCCGACTATTACGTAGCACCAGCACCTTCCGCTTATCCTCCGGCAGCATCTTACGGTGCGCCAGCTCAAACACAGGTCCCAGACTATTACGTAGCACCAGCACCAGCGCCAGCACCTTCCACTAATCCTTCTCCAGCCGCTTACGGTGCACCAGCTCAAGCGCAAGGATCTAACACCGAACCAGGATATTCCGCACCAGCTCCAGCGCCGTCCCCATCTGCTAATCCTGCTTCTCTTCCTATATATTATAATGCACAGACCTTAGCACAAGCACCGGGATCGGGCTCACAGCCAAGCTATTCCGCTGTACCAGATCCATCACCTGCACCTTCTGGCTCTGCTTATTACGGTGCTCCGACACCAGATCAGGCTGAGGGCGCGAACTCAGAGCCACACAATCATGTTGCGCCATCACCAGCGCCGACACCTTCTGCGAATCTCTCTACTTCCTATTATGCTGCACCGATGTCAGCTCAGGCACAGGAATCAAGCTCCGATACGAAGTATTACGTAGCAGCACCGGCAATCCCTTCTGCTGATATATCTGATTCTCCAACTTATTCCGTTTCTCCAGCCGCAACTCAGAGCCAGGGATCAGCGTCTGAGCGTGACTATTACGTAGCGCCATCTGCATCATCTTCTGCTTATATCGATCCTGCTCAGGCTTCTTACCTTGCGCCAGCGCCTGCACCGTATTCAAGTCCAGCCGCAAACACTTGCCCTTCAGAACAAAGCTCGCCCTCCTATGCTGCTTCTGAACTTGATCCAGTAGCATCTTCCTACTCAGAGTCTGATCCTGAGTCTTATAAAACTTCAGATCAAGTGCCAGCAGTTTCTTCAACTGCTGTGGAAAGTTCGGCTGCCTACGCATCTCCTGATCAAAGTAGAACTGGAATCTCGAGGCCATATACAGTCACAGACCAAGATACAGCATCGATCTCTTACCCACCGTCTCTAGCTGCAATTCCTTCTCCAGCTTTAAGTCAGTATCCAGCAGCCAACCCAGAATCGTACTCATATCCTGCACAAGAATTACAGCCAAATCCAGCCCCATACATATCTCCAGTGCAAAATAGTGCACATTACGGAGCTACTGGCCAAGAACCGGCGCCTTACGCTAACCCAACTCCAGAATATGCCTCTGCTTCAGACACGTACTCAGCTCAAGAGCAAGTGGCACACCATGCTCCAGCAGCCGCACAATCTGCATGCCCATCATCGTATCAAGCTCCAGCTTTCTCTAACACAGCCCAAAAATATGCTACAGATCCAGAAGAAAACGCTTACTCCGAACCTGCTGTAGGTTCAGCACCATCACCATTACAGGAATATGCTTCAGATCCAACAGTCGATTCTTATTCAGCTCCAGCACCAGCTCCAACACCGATTCTTTACTCATCACCATCACAGGAATATGCTTCAATCCCATCTGCAGATACTTACTCACCTCCAGCACCATCAACGGAAGACGCTTCAACTTCGGATCCTTCTCCATCCACTTCTGACAAAGTCCCGGCGTCTTATTCAGTAGCTGATTATGCGGCAGCTCCAGAAGCAATGCCTTATCCAAACCAAGCAAAAGGATCCAACGCTGAAACTTATGTGTCTCCAGACCCAAATTACAGCGCACCAGCGTTGGTACAATCAGCAGACCCTCAATCACACTATGCGGCACCAGCACCTACTTCGGAAATTTATGTTAGCCCTAGCCAAGATCTGTCAGCAGCTCCAGCTTCGTACACATCCGCCGAAAAATGCGTAGCACCAGCGGCGGAGCCAGCCTCTTACACAAGCTCCAATCAAGATTCATCATCACACACATACTCAGACTCACAATCGCAGACGCCAAGTACAGAACTGGGTATTTACTCAGCTCCTGCGCACCACACATCCGCAGCTTCAAATCAATATGCAGGATCGTCTCAACAAAATACTTACACTTCCTCGTCAGCGTGCCTAACAGCAGCACCAGCACATCCAGCGGCTCAAATCGGTTTACGAGAAGAACTTCCATACATTTCCGAAGTGAAGGCACCCGGCCTCACTGCTCTGATTGGAAAATGGATTGACAATAGGCAGACAAATGTAGGCAGTGGTTCACAATATCTTACGCCCTTGTACTATCAGCCAACTTATATGGTTATCGAATATCATGGCTCGAAAGGAAAACGATCATATAAGTAATTTCACGTTTTTTAATCCAAATTGCGTCCTAACTGTACATGTGAGTGCAGTGTGATTGTGTTTATCAATGTATGAATGTATGTATGTATGTAGCTGTAAGATTCCCGACCCATTGAAAATGCTAGTTAGTAGTTAAATGAAAAAAATAAATAAAAATAGTATTCGAAAAATGTTAGTATAAAATACATATTTTCATCTTAATTAAAGCTTTTAAACTAATTTTCAAATAAGAGAAATAGGAGATGGTGCGCGTTTCTTCTCTTAACATGCTAGAAAATTAAATTCCTTTGTAGTATTTTTTGGTTCAAAATTTTGGCTTATTGTTTCAAAAAAGAGTTTATTCCAAAACAATTTTAAAAGCTAGCTCTTACGGAGACTAATTGCGAACGGTTTCTAGACCATAAGACACTGAAGATGGGTAAGGTTATACTACGGTGCTTGAAACCCTGCACAACTGGGAGAGAAACAAACCAAGGACAGTTAGGTCCATCGTTATGCTACACGTGCGATCTCTTATTCCCTTTCTGCAGGTTGAAGATTTCGATAGACCTCAGATATAAAAGCAGAAGTAATAACTATTAAAAAGAGAGAAAATTCTTCAGATTTGTAACCAGACGAACTCTGGGAGTAATAACTATTAAAACGAAATGAAGTTCTCGTTTGCTTGCTTGCCGCATGTTCAACTTAAGTAGTGGCCAGTAATAGTGCGTATCACTGCATCGAAAATGGGACGATTAATAAAGATTAGGAACAATATCTCCTTTTATACTTGGCCAGAGTAAATGTTATGTTCTCTTGTTAATTTTTCATTTGCCAATTCATGGAATACTGATCGGACTCGGTGTTTGCATGAAGATAGCGGAATATCATAATAAATGACCGATAGAACAAGTCAATGCGGCTTCTCTTCTCTTCCGTTTCAATACTGAATTGTGTACTGGTGCAGTACAGTTAACGTACTATAAGTGGAAAACAGCCAACAGTTTCCCGAAAGACCAAACCAAAGGTTTCTCAGTTTTCGCCCTCTCCGCTTGGGGCGACCGCTGCTCCGACATGTGATTGGAGTTCACATCGGGTATTGCCTGATGGGAACCAACGCTATTAGAACGCTATTATGCCGTCAAACGATTACTGCCATAGCTGCCATGATGAGGAGGAAATCGAAAGTGTGAGGCATTACCTACCCCACCGCCACGCATTGGAGAGGGCTCGTCGACGCTGGGTCCCCCATTATTACTTTGGATGCCTGGCTGAATTGAATTTGCTATAGCTACAAATTAGTTTTGCCTCTAAGGTAGAAGGAGGGACGCGAGGGATGTCTAATCTGGCATCACAATGGGCCTATGGTGGCGTAAGGCAGCCAAGTTAGCCTAACCTAACCTAAGTAAGGTATGAGTTTGCGTTCAATCTGGCTGCGTTGAAAGTGGCCTGAAACCTACTGATAAATTCGATAAGAAGAATATTTATAAGAGACTTAGGTAGAGGATACGGCTCGCGTGATTAACTTGGAAACAGCCCGCTTTTGTGGACTTTTCTAAAGCTAGCCACCATACAGTAAGCCCATAGAAAAGAATTTCTTGGTTTTAGACCCCAGGCGCATAAGGCGGTCATGGCTTTCTTGGAATGATACGTAAGATTCCAATTCCCAGGCATAAGAGCTTCACTCCGTTGAGAGTGGGTAAATGTTATGGACACGCCTTCCCATCTCTCAGGACATAGGTTTTCTCTCAAGCAGGAGCCTTATGAATTCCGTCTGGGGCACACGATGCAATCATTGATAACCGTTGAACTGAGCAATGGGACTTTGACTGTTACTTCGTGTCTAAGCTACTTTATGGTATGTATATATGTTGGCTGCCGCAACGCTTATCTCGTGCATAGTCGGCGTTCGTCGATAGCCAAGCGGGTTGCGCAGCGCATGTGTTGAAGCTAGTAGTCTGGTTAATAAAAAAAGTATAGAACTGGTAGCATTATTTAGGGAATTTGCCCTTGCTGGCCAATCACCATAACCTAACCTTAGCGGTTTGCGCTGATAAAATTCCATGGCGATTTATGTTTGATGGCCACCAAACTGCAGACCAACGTTATTGACTAATCAACAGAGTAGGCATCCTTAGATAAAATAGAATAGAATACAAAGATTTAATGAGGTGCCTAGGGTGGCATGTTTGCAATTATTTCATGATTATATCGACGGCTGAGTGGAGATAGGGAGTTTTCGAACCGGCAGCCAAGAAAGGGAGATCTTCCCCTCAGACCTCGATATGTCATAAACTCAAGAGGCATCAGATAGCAAGCTGGGCCACGTTTTGGTTTTTCTCTGCAGTATCAATCTAAGAGTAGCCATGGAGTGAACAGAATTGCTTTGAAAGATGCCAAATTGATGTCGAAAATAAACAACTTTCTGATGATGACGTTATACACGAAAAATCGACACATGAGTTTTTTCAAATTTACATATGGGGCGTTCCATACCAAAATGGACGAGGTTAACACTTCATGTGTTTGATTTGTTTCAAATTTTTAGAGTAGATGGACAAACATAAGTAAAAAATAAATATGAAATTTGAGTTTGATTAATACTTTTTTAAATCTTTACAGCACAAAAACAAAAACAAATCGATTTAATAGTTTTCCAAATATCTCGAGAACGGGGCGAGGAATAAATTTGAAAAAAAATCACGCATACACACATCAAAATTCTATATGAAAAGAAATATTTTTAATTTTTTTCTTGAAAAATTTTTTTACACACAAATTCTTTGATAAAAAAGATTAGTTTTTGAAAATATGCCTTCTCAAATAAAATTAAAAAAACAATGGTAGCCCTGAGTATTGCGCAATATTTAAATATAGTATTACAGGGTGCACTCTATAATAATTTGAGTTTTTTTTTTACACCGAAGTTGAATAAAAAGAGTACATTACAAACATGATAAAAACCAAGGCATAACAAGGTAGAAGTGATTTCGACATTTCTCTCTTTTGAACTGCGACTAAAATATCAACTCTTAACCCTATACTATTCAAAATTTTAATTTTTTTAATAAAAATTTTCAGTTGTGAGCTGTGCGACTGATTTTAAATACATAATAAAACAAGTAAGAAA